CTTTACGCGGTCCCACATTCCGCGTTTCCACGTTTACGCGGTACCCTGCCGAAACAGGAATGCTCGCATTCCGCTGTGCGTGTACCCCTTTACGCGGAGAGCGGCTGGCGAGCCGCGCCATTTTTGGATCCAAACCTCCCGCCATCCGCCATGTTGTGTAAGTGGTGCGAGCAGGGTGCCACACGGTCGCCCAGTCATCAAAACATTACACCTAGACCCCGACTTACGACGGGTTTAGGGACCCAAATCCAGGTCGTAAGTCCGACATGGTCGTAAGTCCGATATAGATAAAAAAAAAAAAAAAAAAAAAAAAAAAAAAAAAAAAAAAAAAAAAAAAAAAATTTAATAAAAAATCTACAATGAAATACAGTACAGTAAAAGTAATGAATAATGATGAATGGATACAGTACAGTGAAAGTAATAAATAATAAGGAATGGATACAGTGTGACTGAGCACTTAACCTTTAATGTAGTCAGCTGAATGCACATGGGGCCCCCATAATTTTCTAATTATACATGGAGACTACATTAACTGGAAACGTTTCGGTATAGAAAATGCGGTCGTAAGTCCCGACGGTCGTAAGTCGGGGTCTAGGTGTACTGAGTTCTTCACCCGCCACCCACCACAGCCGGCCCAAGTCAGTGATAGTGATAATTATAGTGAGGATATGGACTTATATGGACTTTGAGGGGTTTGACAAAGAGGCCCTGCAAGCCTCTGTGGTGGATAGTGATACAATTGATACAAGTGATACAGATGAGGGCCAATAATCTGCCCTCTGCCTCGGAACCAACCCCCCATCCCCGTGTGCCCAGCCATCTTTTCTACTAATGTAAGTGTTAAAAAAACTAATATTATTGATATTTCTCGTAATTATTAATTGTGTGTGCATACCATCATAAAGTTAAGATAATATCTTTACTACAACATAGTTGTGTGTCGTCAAAAAGTGGAGTTTGGGGGTCGGCCCGGTCTCTATTTCAATTAATCCCATATGTTATGTTGTTCACTTTAAGCGTTTCTCACTTTCCGCGGTACCCTGTGGGTTGAATTAACCGCGTAAAGTGAGGGTTGACTGTACAGTAAACCACTCACAAGGTCCTACAGTACCACTAATTATTTTATACTGAAAATTACGTTTGGGAAGCTGGATTAAAATGAAGATTACCTGTATATTAAAATAATAAAAATGTATTATAAACCAGTCTAACATACCGTAATAAACACAGCTGCTATTATCATCCCACCCCCATTTGCCAGTGACAAGAAAGGGAAAGTGACCTTGACTGTGACCGCCTGTGGCTATTTTTAGCCGTCCTTGTGTTCGGAGGTGGTCAGTAATGCATATCTGTATATTTACTGATCATAATACTTATCTCTTATAAATAATTCATTTAAAATTTATTTTTTTGCAAAGAATATTCAGTAAATGACTGCATTAATTCTTGAAACTACCTACAGTGGTAAATTTAGGATATAAATAATGAACAGAAGTCACGTCATGGATTCGGAGTTTGGTCCTTAACGATCACCATAAATGTAGCCTCCCTTTTTCGCGAAACACGTATATAAATTAAAGAAAATACTTGCAGTATATTTAATATATTACAGTATATTATATATAAATAAATAAACAAATAAATTCAAATTCCCTTATCATCCTGTGTCATATACAGAAATACTTGAGTCCCTGAGCGAGTACACAAAAAGAAAACGGAGGACTAAGACATCCTGAAGTGGATAGAGAACGACATCTCTACTGGGGGACTCAAACGTTTCTCATGTTTTGTGGGCGCTCTAGCATAATATGAATATGTAAATTACAATTTACACATATATATATATATATATATATATATATATATATATATATATATATATATATATATATATATATATATATATATATATATATATATATATATATATATATATATATATATATACACACACACACAGTAATTATAATAATACGTACCTGTAATTATTCATAGTAAATAAAAATTTTAATTAAAAAATACACCAAAATAAATTAATAATGATAACAATAATACTGTATTAATAAAATAATAATAATAATAATAATAATAATAATAAAGAAATACAAGAATGAAAAAAAAGATAAAAAGTGAGTAACATGACCTAGACCTATGAATTATTATTATTACCTGTATTATTATTATTATTATATTTTCGCCCCCCAGGCCCCAATGTGGGTCAGTGACTTGTGCCCGGATGGGTTAAAAAAAAAAAAAAAAACGAACCATTCTGAAAACCGAAAAATTCCGAAATCCAAAATGCCTCTGGTCCCAAGGATTTCGGATAAGGGATTGTCAACCTGTACATAGAAAATCTAAAATGGATATCCCTTTTTCTTCTCAGCACCACAAAAACTCACACTTTTACGCTTGGCAGCCATTTTAAAGGGAATTACAAACGAAAATTTTGTCAGGACCCAACGCGATCACTAACGCCGGGACTCAAAAATATGTACAGTAATTTGAAAAATATTTTATACGACTGCGGCAGTAGTATGTCCAGGTGGTCGTAAGTCGAGGAGTACCTGTACTGTATTGGCGGACTAGCCGATCAGCAGAATTAACGCGCACACATAGGTTGGGCGTAGTACAGGTTGTACCTCTCTAGTCCGGCAACCTCGGGACCTGACCGGTGCCGGACCATGGAAATTGCCGGACCATGGAAATTCACCCTTTTCCTGGATAGATAGTGACTTGTGCTTATGCCTGGAAGCACTAGCACCACTTTCTCTGCGTCATGGTCTCTTTGAAGACATATTGAAGGGTTAAATGTCGTATAGTAGCTTCTCAAATTTCGCGAGTTTTTAATTCTTAACGTATTTTATTGGAACACACAAAAAATAAATAAATAAAAATTTTGACGGCGGAAACTTGAATTTCGACGGGTTTGAACGGCCCGCCAACGTGCAGACGACGTGCATAATCGTGTAAACAGCGTCATTTCTCTTATGTACAAAAGATTCATTATTGTTTATTACTGAATGTCTTTTTTATTGAATTAATGTTTATATGTGCAAAATGAGCAATACAATTCATTAATAATACGTAGAAAATTAAAACACATGAGGAAATGACACAGCATTGTTTTCGTTGATTACAAAACCAGTGACTGACTGGTTCTACATATAAAACTGAAGAAAATAAGACCTTGGTTGTAGCTGTAGTAAAATTAATATGGTTGTTTTAAGTAATGTTATTTAATGTTAATAAATGGAACAATAGAAGTAGCTAACGATAATGGTAAAGAAAAAGAGAGATCGCATATGTAAGTGCGCATGCGCACACGTGAAAACATATCGTCATTACTTTACATAAGAATATGAAAGCAACACTTATTTACTGTTCATATATATTTTAATTAATGTTTCTGAATTTGTTTTTATTGAATTAATGTACGTGTGTGCAAAATTAACAATACAATTTATTAATAATACGTGGAATATTAGAGGAGACGAGACCGCTGCCGGCATTGTTTATGTTAAAGCTTACGAAACCAGTGACTGATTGGTTCTACATATAAAACTGAAGAAAATAAGACCCTGAGTTTAGCTGTAGTAAAATTAATGTAAAAAATGAATATGGTTGCTTGAAGTACCTGTAATGTTATTTAATGTTAATAAATGGAACAATATAAGTAGCTAACCATTAATGGTAAAAAAAAAGTGAGACTGCTCGTATGTAAGTGTGCACATGTGAAAATATATCGTCATTACTCTACATAAGAATATGAAAGCAACACTTATTTACTGCTCATATATATTGAAGGGTTAAATGTTGTACTCTGTATAGACAAGCAGAGAGAGAGAGAGAGAGCAGCCGAACTGCCGGATGTAAACAAACCTTAATTTCCCGCGGCTTTTTTTTTTTTTAAGGGGATTAGCCCACCCGGGCATAGGTCACTGACCCACATTGGGGCCTGAGGGGCAAAAATTTAATACTCCTGTAATAATAATAATAATTCTCCCGATCTACCTATTGGACAAACTAAAATCGTTCCGGACCACGGGAGTTTCCGGACCACAGAATGCCGGACTAGAGAGGTACAACCTGTATGTGTAAGTCAATGGCGGCAATACCGTTTGTATACAGTACTTTTATGTGAACTGCTTGTGGTATTATTTTCATGAACTTATTCCATGTACTGTACAGTACTGTAATTATAATTAGTGTAATTGTAAAAAAATGAAAAATCAGCGCACTGCATAATATTTCTACAGACAACAAAAGTTTCTTTCAAACCATAAATAATGGCACCAAAATGATGAAAATTTTGTGACATGTGAGTTATTTACACATTTCTTAACTTGAAACGCATTTTACCCAAAACGTAATTTTGGTGTTTTCGCCCTTCATTTTCATGGCGCATCATATCATACAACACCAGAACTCCTAATTTTTTTCAGTGTTATAAAAACAGGGGCACTAGCCATTTTCTGATGCTAAACAAACCAAAAACACAATTCATTGCACACTTGTAAAACACATGTACCTGTACTGTACTTAAGAGACAGACAGCGGTTTTACATTAGTAAAACTACATATCTTCATTCTCACTACTGTATTACAATTTTAAACTCAAACTAAGATAGCACACCATTGCCAGAAGAAATAATAAAAATCAGACAACATCCTTATTTTTAAGTTATGACTAATGGACCCCACACTATGATATTCTTCAACTTATAATACTGTACTACTAGATTAAAATCATGACACTACTGTTCAGATACGTTTGGGCAGATGGGAACAACACTGGTGAATTATGAATGCTTTCCAAATCTAAAATTTCCCTTGTACATGTCACGTACAACCCTTGGCGGCCCGGACAACTCGGTGATCAAGAGGAGAAGAATAAGAAAATGATGACCAACACATTCAAGACCCCCTCACACAACACACAAAACACAAGTGGATCAATACATTTATGTATCTCACAGCCAAACCTGAAGAGGCAACCTTACCGTCATTTAATCTCATCTTCTTTTCTGCTGGTTCATGAATCTCCATTTCCCCATTCATCTGCAATAACAAAAATATATAATACAGTACTGTATAACCAAAGGCAACAATTGTGGCCCTATTGTCAAAATGAATTTAATATCTCTTTAGAATATTGCAAACATAAAAAGAAAATCCTTCCCCACATCTGACTACTGCTGAAAACATTATTAAATAATGTGTGAAACATATGTACTGTACTGTTGCAAAAGGATAATTAGGAGACTGACATTACCACAACAACCAATTTATGGCTAATATTCCTCAAACACTGGAAAGCAAGCCGAAATCACATAAGTGTCGGGTTTTAGTCTAAATCACAAGCCAGTTTGTGGAATAATTACCCAGTAGGTGAATACAATGACCAGGTTGGGTTCTTTTAGATATGCTTCAAAACCCTGTCCACCTTTGGTGAGTCAAGGTTGAAATGGTAGGAAGGGTCACTTAACCAAATTTTATTATCATCACTATCAAAATTATTTATTTTCCATGTCTAAATCATTTGCTGATGTCGGCAAAATATTTGACCCAATTTACAGTGAAGGTGGAGTAGACGGTTAGGTTAGCACCAATATGAGTTTATATATTTCGTATATATTTTCCAAAGTTGTTCTTTGGATGATATTAACTTAGAAAACCAACAGGACAACTTTTTATTTCAATTATAAGTACAGTACAGCCACTTCTCGACTTACGACGTGGTTAGGGACCCAAATCCAGGTCGTGAGTAGAAAATGCGAAGATAAAACATAGAAAAACTAAAATGGGGGTCTCTTTTTCTTCTCAGCACCACAAAACTCTCACTTTTAAGCATGCCAGCCAATTTAAAGGTAATTACAAACAAAAACTTTGTCAGTACAGTAAACAGCGCGATCACAAACGTCGGGACTCGAAAATACGTAATTTGACAAATTTTTGGTACAACTGGGGTGGAAGGTTATAAGTCGAGGAGTAGCTGTACTATACTTTTCGACCCTTTTCTCTATCTACAAACATAAATCACCTATAGTGAGCAGGGCATTAAGGATGAGTAAAATTGTGGGGTAAATTTACAACACTGCAAAAAACTGATCACGCGACCTTGTGGTGCTATTTAAAGATTAGTAGGGTCATTACCTAATACCTGACCATTGTGGACCTGATCTCACCCTCCTCTGTATATATACACCTTGTTTTGTACTTCTTAGTCTGTACCCACCCCTGAAGATGTGAATTACACGCAAGCGCTTGGGAACTTCGTGTTTTCTTCTTTCCTTGTGGTTATCAGCATATACCTGGATCACGCGCACCTACAGTGATATATATATATATATATATATATATATATATATATATATATATATATATATATATATATATATATATATATATATATATATATATATATATATGTATGTATGTATGTATATGTATGTATGTATATGTATATATATATATATATATATATATATATATATATATATATATATATATATATATACTTATTGTTGTGACCATTTTTTTTTCAAATGACGCACGCATTTTCTATACCGAAACGTTTCCAGTTAATGTAGTCTCCATGTATAATTAGAAAATTATGGGGGCCCCATGTGCATTCAGCTGACTACATTAAAGGTAAGTGCTCAGTCACACTGTATCCATTCCTTATTATTTATTACTTTCATGTATGTATCCATTCCTCATTATTTATTACTTTTACTGTACTGTATTTCATTGTAGATTTTTTATTAAAAAAAAAAAAAATTTTTTATCTATGTCGGACTTACGACCATGTCTGACTTACGACCTGGATTTGGGTCCCTAACCCCGTCGTAAGTCACTAGCTGTGTGTGTGTATATATATATATATATATATATATATATATATATATATATATATATATATATATATATATATATATATATATATATATATATATATATATATATATATATATATATATATATATATATTTCAAATAAAAAGTTGTCGCCTCATATAAAATTACTTACTACTGTATAATGAGAAGAACATCTGTGGAAAAAATTAATGAAATTGAACAACTCTTTCTGGTGGTAGTGCTGCACTCATAAATTACCCATGATAGTTGTTTTCACTGGTTTCAAATATCAAAATAATACTTTTTGTTTAATATAATGGCAGGTCGGGAGATAGTTAGATAAGGTTGGGTTGGGTTCTTTGCTTGGTTAGGTCAGGTTCTATTAGGTTCTGTGTATTACTTTTTACTTACTGTACTCTTAACCTCTTCGCCACTGATCGGTCAGTTACATCTGTTATGCACTGTTGGCAAGTACTGGGCATGCACCGGCTCCTAAATGTATCTGACTCTGCTCCAGTTTTGGTCAAATTTTGTCTTGAAACAGCTCACACTTGGTGCCTTCACAACACACACTGGCAGGTTATTCCAAGAGTTCACAACTCTCACTCCAAAAAAGTTCTACCTCAAAGTTTTGTGGACTTGTGGCTTCTTCAACCTTGAGCTGTGACCCCTGGGGGGGTGGCCACCACCTCCAGGAATGAAGATGCAACTGAATAGTGCCCCTTGAGATGTTTTTACACCTCAATTAGGTCCCCCCTTGCCCGTCTGTATTATAAGCTAGGCAGCTGCAGGCACTCTAATTTCTCTGGGTAGTTGAGGTGCCAAAGTTCAGGCACCAGTCTCGTGGCTCTCCTTTGGACATTTTCAATTAATTGACAGTCCCTAGCATATCTTGGGGACCAGATGGGGAAGCACCTCACTCTTGAAGATCGTTACGAGAGATGGACCATCTAGATATCTGAACGACCTTCTTATAAGACCTAAAAATTTAGCTGCTTGATTCACCGTCAGTTCACTGTCAACATACACACCCAGGTTCTTTTCACATTCAGTCTCTATTAGTGCAGTTTCTTCGTCTCATTGGGACATATTATGATATGCCTCCTTACCATTGGTATGTCCCAAGTGCATCCTGTTATGCTTCGTGACATTGAATCTTAGCAGCCATTTCTTTGACCAATCTTGAAACTCGCAGAGATCTTTTGGCAGCTCTTCAGTCCTTTTGGTTCTTAATTTCCCTAAATAACTTGGCATTATCTGCAAACATCTCAATAGAAGTGTATATAGCTTCTGGTATGTCATTTACAAAACAAACAAACAACAACGGGCCCAATACACTACTATGTGGTACCCCATGACACAAGACAATTTTGTACGATTAATCACTACACACTGCTTGCAATCATAGAGAAAGTCTCCAATCCATGCTAGGACACCTCCCCAAACATGTGTAAAAAATGAATGAAATTAAACCACTCTTTCTATCAAAATAGCCCAAAACAGCTTGTCACACTATTTTGCCTATTTGATCTTTTAAGGCATGTTTGTAAAGTAGCTGCTAAGGCCAGACTACTCCAATAAACTATTACCCTTGGAAACAACGGCCAGGCTAATATTGACGACCACACCACCGACGCATTATTAGTTTTGATGTTTATGTTCTTACTATATTATCATCAGAGTTCTGCATTTTTTGAGGTTAGGTTAGGTCAAGTTAAACTTTTAAATAAACACTTTTTTAACACATTTGCCATAACTACGACAGAGTTCACTATAAAACAGTGAAATTGCAACGTTTTTTTATTTGTTTTCTATGAAAAATTGGTGGTTGTGTCATCAAAAATTACCAATAGCTAAAATACAACTCGTGGCCATCAGTGGTTCGGTAGTTATGGAGGCCGTTTTTAGAGTTTTGTACACTGATTAATATTATTTGTTTTCATTTTCTTGGGCAAAAGCCTAGTTTTCTAGATATAGGCAAGTTAAGATAACATTCTCACAGTCGCATCATCAGTTGTGATGTGGCAGATGTAAACAATGTACCGTGAAGGCTAATATACGAGACATGGCCGTCAGCGGTTCAGTAATTATGAGGGTGTTTTTAGTCACACTAATTACTTTGTTCTCATAATTTTCTTGTGTAAATGCTAAGTTTTCTAGATATAGGAAATTTAAGATTTACTGTAGGTTAGATTAGATTAGGTTAGCACATTATTTCAGGCATTTTCATATTTTTCCCAACATACCTTTAATACAGTATCCTCCACTAAAATCAGTGAAAAATGGGTATTTTAAACACATTTTCAATGAAAAACAGCAGACAGTCTTGATCCGAATAATTACGAAATCAACAAATGGTCTGTAAACGGTATTAATGAAGTTTTAGCAATTGGTAAATTTGCATAAGTGGGCCCAACTCAATTTCTTAATTAAATACACATTTTTCGCAAATTTCAGACTTAAGTATTCTGACACTTTTCTTCTATGGCATTTCCATCGGAAATTTATATTTTTCGAGTATTTTAATAGATATAATTACCAACAATGTTACTTGTTTAAATTGGGAAGGGCTTTGAAGTTGAGGGAAAATGTGGGGTACAATACTAAAAATAACGGTAAAGATTCGTTTTATGCACCAACACTATTCTTCATTAAAAAAAAAGTTCTGATGCATTTTTGTGTTCTTCAAAAATGACATTCGTTTCCTTGCGAAACTAGTAGTTTTGAAATTTAAAAAAACTACTAATTTTCCAAGGAAACGAAGGTCAAATTTGGCAGAAAGCACGTAAAAATATGTTTACCTAATCTTCACTTGAGATAGATAATGTGGGGTCCAAAAATCCGCACGCTGAACTTTTATGAACATAAGAGTAAAACGGTATAAAAAAAATTCGGGGATTTTCATCGAAACAATAATTTTCCAGGAGGGTTGGAGGAAAGTTGAGGATGTGTATAAAGTAAGATTGTAAATAGATAGCATGTCCTAGGAGATCTTGGCTAGTGCATAAAACTAATCTTAACCAAAATAAGGTTTCCTAATCTTTAAAAATCGTAAAACTATAAAAAGTTTACCTTAGGTTTTTGGTGTTTAGTATGTGTTGTTGTTGTTTTCGGTTTTCAGTGTGTGTTGTTTTCTGTGTTTTGATGAGGAAGGAATCATAGACTCTTAAATTGATTCTTAAAAAATTTTTTAAGTTAGAAAACCTAAGGCAAGGTTTCCTAAGGTTTGCTTGGTGCCATTTTTAGTATTGTACCCCACATTTTCCACAAACTTCAAAGCCCTGCACAATTTAAACAAGTAATAATGTTGGTAAATTTATCTATTAAAATAGTTAAAAAATATAAATTTCCAACGGAAATGCCATTGGAGAATAGTGTCTGACCTATGCAAAAAACGTGTTTTTAATTAAGAATTATGCAAATTTACCTAGCAATTTTGTGGTGTGAGGGTGATAACTCAGTATCACTCATTTGCGAAGGAAATCAAGGTTAACGAGTAGATTCATGCTGCCAATGATTCTTGCAAGAATACACTGCTTTTCCACCATAATTTTTGTTAATTGCGAGTGACAATGTTCTTTTATGGGGAAGCGTTTCTTTTTTATAATTTATAACCACTCAGGGGGGTCGAGGCCCCCCCCCCTCCCCGCTAGGGGGGTTAGGTTAACCCTTTCACCACGTGTCACGCACTTGCCATTTTATTCTGGCTACCGCCAGGCGATTTTATTCAGCTTAGGGTAACTTCTCGCTGTGAAAGGGTTATATAAGGGCAATTTAAATGCTGACATTATATAACAACTCATGGGAGGTCAAGGCGACCCCCCCTCCACCGCTAGGGAGTTAGGTCAGGTTAGGTTTAATACATGTAAGGACAAGTTAAATACTGACTACATTACATATCCACTAAGGGAGGGGGATTAGGTTAGTGCTTCTTTTGTGTGCATAAAAGCAAAATTTATGCAGGAAAAAAAATTTTTCCCGCATGAATTTTGCCGTTTTATTTATTGGAGGATGTTGATTTCTCCGGAAAAGCTGAAAATACTAAGATCAATTTTTACTTATACATCAATCTTTGTTTGGAAATTAAAAACATGTTTTTCCAATATTTGATGAGTTTCAAACGAAATTGATATTCATTTCCGAGGGAAATCACTAGTTTTGGGGAGCATGGGAAAGCGAGGTTTTTGGGTGGGGGAGAAAACGAATCATCTAACCTAACAAAACCTAACCCCTAGCCCCCGGTAGGCCTAGCTTAAACTAACCTAATTGTCTCAGTAGTTAAGAACTTTGGGGTGCGCCATATCTGAAAGTACAATACTGTACCTTAGTTAGTAGTGGAAGAACCAGGGATGCATAAGAATTGGATAGAATGATCGTCTTTCTTGTAAAATTCTGCAATAAACTTAGAATAATCGTAGGAGCACAAATGACAACCAACCTCCACCACAGCCATTGTGAGCCTGGTCAATGAAATTACCCAGGGCCCAGGCTGCTTCCTTTGAAAAAAATCAAATGTGATTGGTCGAAAAAAAATCGAGTGATATCGATACAGCATTTGTGACGCCAGTCAATATTGTGCATGCGTGATGCGCAAATAACATCTTTTCAAGATAATTAAGACATGGCGACACTTATGACTGAGCGAATTTAATAATATTGAAAAATTAATATCTTGGTTATCCTTAATTTCCAGCTGAAATATCATAGAAGAAAAAGATCTTAGTACATTACAAAATACATGTTAATAACAGCGAGAGAACGACCGGTGTATAAAGAAAATTCACCAAAACTAATGTTTGACCATGATTGGAAAACATTAGTACTTTTTCTCCCCAGAAAAAAATTATCTCCAATAAAAAAGCAGCAAAATTCATTGTTTTTTTGTTTGGTTTTTTGTTGGCGAAATCGCTTGCAGCACTTAAGTAAACGTTTACCCCGCAAATTTACCCTATAAACAGGTCCCATAATAACAGTACATACATACTAGTGAAATGTAGCAGAGCCTGAGTAAATTATAACAGGAGCATAGAGAAAAACAGTAACCTGCTGGACACGTCAGGTAATATTACCACAAAAATAAAAAGTAAAGATAGTGCAATACAGTGACGACATTGCTAAATCCACAGACATTGGGTAAATATCACTTACAATTAACAAAGACACTCGTAGTTCAGACACAATAATTTTTACGTCTTGGATCCCCCCGAAGGTGATATACTTGACGTGGCCCCACATTGCCGCTCTTCCTCCTCCTTCACACATTACTCACTCCTCAACTAAATTCAGTTTACAACACTCTACACGTCCTTCAACACCTACACAGTCAACTTAGAATATAGATTTCTTACCATCATTGTGTGCCCATTACTATATAGCGAGGGTTGAAGAGGTGCAGATACTTCCGCCGCCATTTTGATTACCAATCGCGATTCGCGTCACCGCGGGGTCATCACCACTCTGTAGCCGATGATTTTTACCAAATAATGCGAATATTTAATACGATTAATCTGCATAAATGTATTTAACATAAGTTAGAAATAATTTCCTTATTTAATATTAAAATTAGGAACATTTTTAAAGAGATATGTATTTGTAACAAAATTTAGGAATATTCCTGTTCTCTCTAGTAATCGACCCTAAAAACAATTTTTAATTATTAAATATATCACTGAAATATTATAGAAACCTATAGTGACTCATCTTGAAAATATGATAAATACTATTACAAAATATTGCTTCAATATTTTCCCTACGTCAATAAAAAATAGACTTTAGCCGATCAGTTATGAAGAGGATAAAAGTAAGTAAAAAGTAAGTAAATGAACAAGATACTCAATATTAGATACTGTGATTATTACCACAAATATACTTTTACTTTTATCCTCTTCACCACCAATCGGCTCGTTAGCCGCTTGGGCGATCGGTCACGTCTCTGATGACTTTTCCTTTTCTTTTATCCTCTTCACCAAAAGATCGGCTCGTTAGCCGCTTGGGCGATCGGTCACGTCTCTGTTACGCACTGTTGGCAAGTACTGGGCATGCAAGTCGCAAGTCCAGAAAACCGTGAGGGCAAACTTTTTCGGAGTGAGGGTTGTAAACTCTTGGAACAATCTACCAGAGAGTGTTGTGACGGCACCGAGTGTGAGCTCTTTCAAGACAAGACTTGACCAACACTGGAGCGGGTTCAGGTACATTCAGGAGCCGGTGCATGCCCAGTATTTGCCAACAGTGTTTGACAGAGACGTGACCGATCGCCCGGGCGGCTAGCGAGCCGATCTTTTGGTGAAGAGGATAAATGAAAAGGAAAAGTAATGAGGGACGTGACCAATCGCCCAAGCGGCTAATGAGCTGATCAGTGGCGAAGAGGATAGAAGTAAAAGTAAAAAGTGAATGTACCTGAACCCACTCCAGTGTTGGTCAAGTCTTGTCTTGAAAGAGCTCACACTCGGTGCCGTCACAACACTTTCTGGTAGATTGTTCCAAGAGTTTACAACCCTCACTCCGAAAAGTTTACCCTCACAGTTTTCTGGACTTGCGGCTTCTTCAATATTGAGCTGTGACCCCTTGTGGGGCGAGCATCCGCCAGCTCGAAGTAAGGACATTCAACTGAGTAGTGCCCTGTGGGGTACGAGTTGTTTTGTCCACACTCAGGATGGGATGGAGAAAGGAAACTCACAATGTGCTCTCTGTATACATACTGTATTGGATGTACAATGCAGCTTGGTGCTGGGAAGGCAGCATGGTTACGCGCGTTGAGTAGAGAGAGCTGGTTGGTGAGGGTGCTCAGAGGAGGACAGCTTGTGGGTCGCCAAGCTCGCCGGCGGGAGCGAGGGCCCCAGGCAGCGGCGGAGGAGGTGGTGTTGCTTGCTGCGGTTGTAGCTAGAAAAGAGGTAGGTCACCACGAGGTCAGGTCTTATATAGCGGAGGTAGGCGTGGCTGAATAGTTGACCTCCGTCGTGTAAGGCGGCGCTGGTTGATCTAGACCACGAGGCATACACTGAGGAATTCGCGGGGTCGGCTACTCAGCGACAAGCGTTTGTAGGGGAGAAATCCACTAGAGCCCCTTGAGATGCTTATACAGTACACCTCAATTAGGTCACCCCTTGCCCGTCTGTAGTATAAGCTAGGCAAATTCAGGCGCTCCAATCTCTCAGGGTAGCTGAGGTGCCGAAGTGCAGGCACCAGTCTGGTGGCCCTCCTTTGAACATTTTCAACCAACTGACAGTCCCTAGCATATTTCGGGGACCAGACGGGGTGACAGTACTCCAGATGGGGAAGCACTTTACTCTTGAAGATCGTTACGAGGGACGGACCGTCTAGATATCTGAACGACCTTCTTATAAGACCCAATAATTTATTTGTCTGATTTACTTTCTTCACGCAATGGCCCGAGAACTTCAGCTCAATTTCAACACACACACCTAGGTCCTTCTCACATTCAGTCTCAAATAGTGCAGCTTCTTCACCAAATGATCGGCTCGTTAGCCGCTTGGGCGATTGGTCACGTGTCTGTTACATACTGTTGGCAAGTACTAAGCATGCACCGGCTCCTGAATATACCTGAACCTGCTCCAGTGTTGGTCAAATCTTATCTTGAAAGAGCTCACACTCGGTGCCGTCACAACACTCTCTGGCAGATTGTTCCAAGAGCTCACAACTCTCACTCCGAAAAAGTTTGCCCTCACAGTTTTCTGGACTTGCGGCTTCTTCAATCTTGGGCTGTGACCCTTTGTGGGGCTAGCGTCCGTCAACTCCAAGTAGGGACACTCGACTGAGTAGTGCCCCTTGAGATGCTTATACACCTCAATTGGGTCAACCCTTTGCCCGTCTGTAGTATAAACTAGGCTAGTTCAGGCGCTCCAATCTCTCAGGGTAGCTGAGGTGCCGAAGTGCATGCACCAGTCTGGTGGCCCCCCCTTTGAACATTTTCAACCAATTGACAGTCCCTAGCATATCTCTGGGACCAGACGGGGTGACAGTGTAATGACCATGGTCATACACGTCAGTTAACGTGAAATCAGACGATTCATATTACGCTCAATCTCCCACAAAACATGTAGCTATGCTTTCTTATTGGAGTTCCCATTCTAAGGAGTCCGTTTTCTCATCGCTTCAGGACGCCTGAGTCCTTCGTTTTCTCTCAATCTTATAATGCACCCGATACTTCATTATTCCTTTGTAATGACATAATTTGAAATTGCAACTGTGGTTGCAATTGGTGAGGCAACCTAGATATGTCTGTTTACAGTTGGAACATTCAAGATCCATTGTGAGTGGTGTTAAAAGCTTCAACTGTCCTTATTGTTAGTAAAACTGGCCAAGTAAGTGGAGTGGCATATTTTATGTCGTTCGTGGGGTTATCCTGAATTTCCGATCGCTACTAAAGTTATATTATTTTTTTCGCCCAAACATCAGGGAATCTGATGATTATAGTTTAGTTAGTGGCAGTTGTCTATTTTATAAAGTCATTAATCTACTGAACAGTTTCTGTCAAACTCAAAATCTTCAAGTCTTAACGGCTGTTTTGACCTGGAATGTGGTCTGCGGTCAGGCAAGTAGAGTTGTTAGTGCGCATGTAACTCCATTTCACCGCTTTCCTGACAAACTCAATCTCTGATTAGATCATAAAGATAGACGTAGAAAATTAGCCTGACCTGTGACACTGACGGTCACAGCCAGTGTGAGGGTGCGGGTTCCCTCTCTGTGGCTACACCACCCTCATCTTACTTACTTCTCTTAGTCTTACTTTTACTCAGTTCCGTCACCTATTCCTTTGGTAGCATGGACATTCTTTTGGTAGCATGGTCGAGGGTCTAGGCACATGGGTATGGTAATTCTGGTATCAAGTCACTTGGATGGAAATAAAGGTAAAATACTGTGGGAGAAAGGAACACACCTAAAATACTCTAAAAACAAGTTTATTAATATGCAATCAATGGGGAAAGATATTGTATTAATCATATAACTACCAGGCTCACTCCTGGGCTTATTGCAGACTCAGTTCCTACATTCTTACTCTTACTCACAACATTATTGGTGTTACATTACATGGCACTCATTGTAGATTACTCAACATATACGTTAATGCTGACACTAGCATATACAGGGGTCCACTACCCAACATGGGATAATTATTTCCATCTAATTATCCCTAACATACATGTCACAACCCTCTCTGTGGACATACACTTCCAAGGAGTAACCCAGGGTAGAGCACTGGGGCTCACGGCTGCTGTTATTGTGGGGTAGCCAGACACATGGCGAGTCTGGGGTCTGGCCCAACGAAGCCGTGGGGCACATTAATCAGGCCGCATCGGTGCCATCGTTTCGTATATGATCCCTGTTGGTCATCTACTACATCCGAGGCCGTTGTTGAATGGTTGCAAGAATCACAATGGGATCTGGAGAAACATTGGAGCAGCGTCACGGAGCTGGGAAACATGACAACACAAACAAACTCTCTTGTCTAGACGACAGACGTATTTACGTTATATTACTTCTACACTGGGTGAATGACAATTCAACTGTTAAATCATGAACACTGGTGAACACTGATGTTCACTACAATTGACTGAATTAACTGAATGGCTACACAAAACATACCTGGAGAAACATTGGAGCAGCATCACGGAGCGTTCTCCCTGGCTCATCTTAGGGTATATATACCCCTGAGTTGCCAGTGATCGCTACTCACGCAATGACAATAATTACAAGCAAACTAACTGTTACTCATTCAAAGATGACCCTCAGTTGACAAAGGTCTGGCAAATTACTTGAGTTGATTTACACAGACTAATTCAAGATTGAGCTTCCCAGGAGAAAGTGGAATAACAACGCATTGACAACTGTCTTCACAAAGGCGGGACTCTGGGAGGGAACACAAGTGTAGCGTCTATGGGGAAAAAACACGTCTTCTCAGGGGTCGCTAACTCACTCATGTTTTGTGGGCGTGGAGTTTAATAAGAATCATTAGTTAAATAGATCAGCAGTCAACGTGACCATGACACCAGGTTTCCAGCGACCACTTTGAACAGAAGGTCTATTGTTAGTAAGATTAGTCTCTCTGGTAGGGATATGCCCCCAGGCTCGCATATATACAGATGAACGAGGAAAAATCACCCTCTCGTGATTTCTCCTCGACGCATCTCCAGGCGCTGTTTGTGTGTTGGCAACACTACTGAGGTTCGGGAGCCGCCTATGGGCAAGATGGCTCTCGAAGGATGTATTTAAGGTGGCGAGATTAGAATCCCAGGACGAGATTCCTCGGGAGACGCCATCAACGACTCTGCCAGTCTGCCACGAGTCAACCTCCCCGGGCGCACCTGGCGAGCGAGCTTTTAGCTTGGCGGTCGCTGTAATCTACTGTGCCCCGCTGACTCTGTCTGGTGATTGTTGTCCATCTATGTGCATGGAGCAG